ATCAGACATCAGCAATGATATCCCTAATTCCACATTCTCTTCTGAATCCAGCTTGAACCTCTGGAAGTTCTCTGTTAGCTTATGCTTGTAGCTGTTTCTGTATTACCTTTAATACAACTTTACTCACATGGGATATCAAAGAGATTGTCTGAGGATTTCTGCATTCCGGTGGGTTACCTGTGTTTGTAATGGGCACACACAGAGATCTCTTCCAATCAGTTGTCCACTAGATGCACCAAAATACTGAAGCAACCATTAACAGAAAAATCAGCAAACAGGTAGTTCACTATTTCAGTGAAAATTTATATGAGCCAATCATATTTCATTAGATTCTTTTTCTTATTGAGAAATGAGCTCATGGTCACACATGTGTATTACATATATATACTACTATAAAAAGTATTCTGTCAATTCATACAACAGACCATATCAAGTAACTCCATAAGGTTCCTGGAAATGTATCATGACTTCTAAGAGTTCTAACATAGGGAATTACTAACATAGACTACAGGTGAATTCCTGTAAAGTATAGTTTTCCAAAGCTTTCAAAGAGAATGATTCAAAAGATGTCTGATCAAAAGTTTTACATCAGTGTAATCATTGCAATGAAACAATGAGTGTAAAACCGATGTTTTCCCACATAAACTATCACTCAATTCACAATAAAAACTTAAAAAAAAAAAAAGTTTTATACCAGGAAAAAAAAGCTTTTTTGTTAACTTTCTAAACAAAAATAAGATGCCCAATAGTTATGTGCCAGAAAAGGTCACATGTTTCCTGTAACATGAAACTATCCAAAATAAAAACAAGTCTTATCTAAGTTTTTAAAATTATTACTGTCACCCAAAGCAACATTTTTTTCAGATTCCAAGGTAATTGCTTTAAATTTTTATTTTTACAAGTCAAACTTTTCAGAATAAAATGTTAATCATTTCTTAATTTTAAATAGGTTTCTCTAAAACATCACATTTTTCCCTATATCAGCGCCTTCATACAAAGTGTTTCTAATATTTAAAATAAAAAATTCAAATTCCCTGCCATCCAGACAATTCCACTTCATAGAGACCCTATGGAGCAGAGTAGCAAAGCTCCATAGGGTTTCTGAGGCTATAAATCTTACAGAAGCAGAAATTGTACATACCGTCAAACCAGTTCTGACACTAGGAATCTGCTCAATGTTTACTCTGACTTAATTTGTCCTTCTCCCACCGCAAAGAAAATGACTCTCTCAAAACATCTAGCATAAATGAATCAAAGATACTTCTTTTGTTAAATGGCACATGTCCTGTTTCTAACCCAAAGGTAGTCTTGTCCTTATGCAAACACAGGCAATACATTGTCGTTTTTTATGTTAATACTTTAATAATGAGCATTATTCTTAAAATAGAGCTAATAATGATATATTCTTATAATAAAGTTCTCTAGAGCAAAATAATGAATGACAGCTGCATGACCAACATGAATAAATTTCACAAAAATGTTTTTAAGTGCCATGGACTCAGTTCCAACTCATAGAGACCTTATATAGGATTTCCGAAGAGCTACTTGCAAGTATAAACTGCTGATCCTGTGTTCAAAATGGAGTTACAGTTGAATGCTTATCCTACAGCACCACACCAGGACTCCGTCACAAAAATAATGCCAAGCAAAAGAAGTAAATCACAAAGATTACAAATGCTATAACTGCATATATATATAGGTTTTTCTTTTTTAATGGCAAAACAAGTGATTATTATGTAGAAACTAGCATTTAAGATGTAAAAACATAAAGGGGAGAGGCGGGGCTTGATGGAGGATAAAGTAGAGGTGCAGTGAAGATCTCCTTCAGCAATACCACAGACTACCAGACGAAGTGCGTTCAGGGCAGAGCTCCAAAACTCTGAACCACATAGGTAGGACTATATAAAAAGTTTGAA